ATATCTATTTATATATGAATTTCCCAAATGTTAACGAACATGTCATGGTTTATTACGTACATAAATTTTTATTTAAAATTATAACAAATTTTGATTTTTTTTTAAAATTCCTGTATGTGCTAAACTTTATACGACTCGGATGCATGCCATACATCCTGATCTAACTTTGTATCTTTATTGTTGTTGTTATTTTTTGTTATCCATATTGTTGACACTATCCCTTATTTATGTTGCTTGTATTCATGTAATCGTCCACGAGGGCAGTACTGATGGTCCTCCGGACCTCTAAGAGGGGGAGCCCTGTGGAGTCCTCAAAAAAGAAACTTATCCAAATTTTACTACTATGTAAATAATGAACATATTGTACACCACTTTGTTTTAACCAGAAACTCTGTACTTTAACTTTACCTCGGGTTTTGAATAAATATACAGCTGGGCCTTCGACTCTCCGTCTTCTCCACCATCTCAACTGCCGTCGATCAATCCTAATCACCTGCTTTCTATCTCTGATTCTTGCAGGAGCACCGTAGTTTCTTCCTACGTACTTTGGTCGACCTCCGGCAACGTTAACATTGGAGAATTACTACTGGAGCAGTCTTTCCGCAGCACCTGGAGTCTATTCCGTTTATTGTGGACTGTGGACCTTTGTAAACTCAAGTAATCAAACTTTAATACATTCTTCCTGTAACTAAACTCATTTGGTATTTTATTTTCTACTTGAATTTGGGTAACTAAGCTAATAGAGTGAAAAGGTCCACCACAGGTGTCAATGTATTTGAAGATTGAACGATCAATTCATGGTTGTTTGCTCAAACCCAACTCCTCCATATTTTTCGCAGGAGTCATCAATCCAGTAGTCATCGTCTCATCGTTCGCTGTCCGTCGGAAGAAAGAAAACTATCAGAAGTATTATCGTGATCCGTTGTTAAAACATTTCTACTTAGACCCTGTGTATAATAACCGTATTGTTGGTTACATATTGGAGTATGAATAAAGGATTCTCGAGTCGCCCATCTGTGTTCTGGTTTTTCTCTTTGGTTATTACAAAGTGCTTCTGAAAGTCTTCCAGGGACAGCGTGAGGTCCAGCGTAGTAAAAGCTGGACATTGACAATTTCCCAGAGTTGGCTGACAGGAGGTTTATCATCTGGAAACAGTAATAACTTTCAGTAGCGTTACTGGCGATTGCTAAAGTGGCCATTTGGCAGCTTTCGATCTACCCAAACAACACATAATTCAACACTTACACTCAGTTATATCGCTAAGGAGTTTTTCATGTCATATTAATAATTAAAACCTTACCCTCCTCCCGATAAAAAATTTTTCCACCCAAATATGACGGGAATGTGAGTTATATTAAATGAAGGCTGTTTCCATGCGCTGTTTCTCTGAGTGCATGGACCTACTAGCAATTATTCATCTGGCATATCAAAACATCTTGGGCATTATGGCAACGAAAAAATTAGGAAGATATTAACTACTTCGACAATGTAGGCTTAAAACCAGCTCCATACTTGCGAATTTCACCAAAAAAGACTATTACGGTGCTGCCTGAGATATATGGTAGCCGATGCTATGCGCGAAAATACATCATGATAGCCTTAATGCTCACTCGTGATCATTCCTACATCACCAAAAAATGTAAGTGATTTTAATACCAAATATTGCTACTGAATAATAATGGCCGTTATTTTTGACAACAAAAACGTTCAAAAGATTACGAATAACTACATACATATGTGATAAAACTGTCTTTTAAACAAAAGGTACAATAACATAAATAAAATCAGAACATAAGCTAAAGCATGCCTGAATCAATTAAGTTTTACATGCAAGTTTCAAATGTTCGTGCTGCCGGAACAAAAGCAGTAGTCTGAAAATATTTGCGCTAGTGACACAAAAGCTGTCAGCCACGTCTCGTAAACCGTCAATGCCCAGCTCTTGCTACGCTCGGCTCACGCTGTTCCTTGAAGTTTTCAGAAACGCTTAGTAATAACGGACGAAAAAACCAAAACACCGATTGGCCACTTGAGATTTCTTTATTGTTACACCAACATATAGCCAACTTTACAACTAAGGTCTGTGAACAAATATTACAATAATAAATCACAATATTACTTCTGACGAAGTTTTACTCTTCTTTCTGAACAGCGACCGATGAGACGATGACTGTCGTATTGATGCCTCCGAGAAAATCGGGGAAGTTGGTTTTGAGCAAACAACCAAGAACTGATCGTTCAATCTTCAACTACATTGACACTCCCCGGCAAAAATGGGATCCAACACTTTTTTCCATCACGACCAATACACGTTGACTTGGATGCCGTTGCGAGAACCCGGGTCACACGGACAGAGCTGAAATGGAAATCAAACAGAAAGACCAACACACCACAAGCATACCCACGGCACAATCTCACACATCAATGATGACCTGCGCCTTCCAGTTAAAGGTATCCTCTTGACATCTTGCAACACAATCGCCACTGGCTAGAAGGACTCTGGCAGAATGCAACGTGACCATAGCAGCACCTCATGATACTCTACGCACATCCTCTTATCTACTCACTACCAATTACCACTGAAATCGCTTGTCACTCATTCTGCCTCAGTTCTAGTAATGGTGACGTATGCGAGCCTCAGTCGTCTACACTCTCGCTCCCCGGCGTGTGGGACCGCAGCTAACAATTATCTCCGTATTCATTTCATTCTCAGCAATAGCCTCCCCGACGTATACGACCCATCTGCTGTCTCTAACATCAATCAATTCATTCACGGGTGTAGAAGTCTAGAAACAACTTCAGAAGTAATCACGATGAAAATTTTAACAAAATTACTCAATGACAACAAGGTACGAAAACAACGAGTAAACACAATGAATCCAAAAACACCAATTGCTATGACACCCACACGTATATACAAACAGTACAAACAAACTCGCGGATCATATCTTGATGGAATTCCTTTGAAAATTCGCAGGACTTACACCAGTACGCCTGCAACCCTTCTCAGGTTGACGATTGTAATTTGTGGAATGTCTGGACACAAACAAGATTAACCAACAATTACAATAATTGGAACTCACACAATTATTTAACACGAACATATGTACAATCAATACATCATATGTTGTGGATTCTGCACGACAAACTACCCTTGAAGAACTGTAGGACTTACAGCAGTACGCCTACATTCCTTCTCAGGTTGATGATCCAAGTGGAAGTCGTCCGGACACAAACAGAATTACCAACAGCTAGATGACAGATGATATCAATTCAGTATATACAATATGAACTTATGTACAAAATCACACACCAAGCATATTGGACTGCTCATTGATGCGCTATGTTTAGGCGTCAGCTTTCAGGCAATTTTATCATTTTTGTTTAGAAGTCCTCAAAAAGCCTTAGCAAAAGTATTCTTTTCCGCAGATAGGGATGGTTTCCGAATAGGCCTACCATCAGATCCGCTTATGATTAGTCACTGCAAAAAGTAAAAATTTTGTTCAGCTATCCTAAATTACCCTCAGTCATTTGACCGACCTGTTATTATCTTCGGTTTCCTGCAGGAGCTGTGTGTCACTTTGATGCTGTGAAAAAGATGTTGCTGAGGCTTGAGACTGGGTCCAAAACTCTTCAATGGAGATAAAAATTGAAGGGTTGATTTTATCTTCAATCAGCCCACCGTGTGTGATCCGGTCTAAAGTGAAAATTTGGAAAGCAGATGTTCTAAATAATCACAACAAAACGGTTGACCTCAACAAAACTTCAAGTGACTGGGGCAAACTACAAAACCCTGAAACCTTCTAGGGAGTTCTCATGATTATATAAGTATTTGAAGCAGAAGATTCAATCTGTCACTCCATCCTTTATATTCATGCAACGTGATAAATGTGGGAAGTAAAATTGGTAAAGGAATTCCCAAACCTTTCTAAAGAGGCTTCGCAATCACCCCCATTTCTTTTCGCACATGGTAGATTTTCATTATGAACTTTCACACCAGTCTATGTTTATCTTCTGTACAGAAACATATATTCTACGTATCATCTAAGAGTTCAAAAGCGGTAGCTACTTCTCTTGTTTCACGAAACTTATTCCATTAGGAAGGTCATTTAGGAAATAAATTGTCTAATTTCTACTTGATATTTCAGGGGATGTGGTACATGTACATTTTGACCTCCGCAACAGTGTACCTGTTTGTAATTCGATCATACGGACGCGGAAATGTCAAAAAATATGCTACAGTTCGACTGCTCAAATATGAGACACTGATTTCAAGAAGGAGGTGCGTAACCAGAAAATTAGAAGGCATTATTTTGAGATAATAATTACAATGAGGAGTTAGGGCTATTAACTCCCTATCCATTAGCACGTGGAGCGAAGATCAAAACTTAACACGCCATGTATTCCCATGTCGCTTATTAACTGGAAGTAAAAAACGTGAAAATTTAGCTGCACTTAGAAAATTGAAGTATGAAAACTTAGGATGAATAATCAGTGTATCCAAGTTAAACCCCGTAGCCTCGTCACTGAAGTCATGAACTTAAAGCTTCTTAATTTTTCTTCTGTAATCTCAGTATTAAATTTTTATTTAAGATTCCTTTATTATCACACACTGCGGGCTCATTAATTTTAAACTTCGACACAAGCATCAAAGCTTCTAGGGTAGTGAAACACCATGACGAACGACTTGCAAGCGAAAGGGGAAAATCCTGTGGCAGGAGCGTTGGGATCTTAACACATCACAAGGTACAAACCATACATATTCTACTTTCCGCACCACCCTTTTCTGGGATTTGTCAAGGTTACATAAAAGGACAGACAGAATGGTCCACTTAGGAACTTATTGAAGACCGAAATTAAATATCTAATTATCAACAAAAGAGCTCAGTGAGAATAATCTACCTCATACAAAAGTATTAAATGAATATTGAATATATCAGCTCGTGAATAAGAAGCGGGTCCGTAGTGTGGGCGTTATGAACCTACAAGGTCAGTAGCATCAGATGCCCAAACAAAAGAAGAAGCCTAATAGACCTCCACTAGAGTTCATTAATGAGCCTTTTTCTAAGCCGAAAGGAGAGCTTGTGTATAAAACATGCTCAGAACTCTATCCCGAAGTAAAGAGAGCACCTACTGACGAAGCTCACTTCTGGGTATGTCGATAAGTTCATTCTAAGTGATTCTGTCATCATAGTGTGAACCAACTTTTAAAACGGTGAAATTTGAAAAGAAAAAAACACTAACCAGGAGTTCTTCGAATCCCCGATATGCCTTACCGGAGCTCGACTTTGTTGGGAATCAGCCAGTTCAAGTAAGAGTAAAATACATATTATTACTGTTCATTTTGGGGCCGTGGTGTAAAAAAAATATTTCCGTCATAATTACTGATATATTTTTATGAAACCAGAGGTAAAGTGCATTATTTGTACTGCATAATGAGCACGGAAATGTCCCACAGACACTAGGTGAAAATCTGAATTTTTGATTGATTGCATTTATTTGCCATTATGCTCCTTGAAATCTACGGGTGGACAATTCAGTAAGTTTTATAGTGTATATAATGAGTACATAAGTATTTACGCCTCGAATCAACCAAAACATTCCGTAAACCTTCATAAAGCGTCACCAAGATAGCTCCGTTCTGTCTGTTAGCACTTACCAATTCTCTCTGGGGACGTATAAAATGCCTGTAAACGTTAGGCGAAAATTTGAGTTATCTACTGCTATGGTCATCAATACTAATCCTTTTGAGAATTAGCTAAATAAATGTAGATCAAATTTAGCTAATCTGTAACATATAGTGGATAGTGTTGTAAAATAATCTCTGAATCTTCAATCATTTACAAGGAAAATAGAACTTTGGTTGCACACCATATGACTTGGATTTTCTTACTTCTTAATAATGTCTTGAGTTCTATTTCTCTAACTCAATAACACAACTAAAACTCACTAAAGTGTTCTGGTGTGTTACTCTTCCGAAGTAGTATAACTAAAGTTCCGTCTCCCAGTTCACCGGCTATTCAGTTTCATTTATAAAATGGACATCTTTCTAAGTATTCCTTTCTTCTGTTAATTTCAAGTTACCTACATTTCTGTCACTAACTGTTGGATATTTTTATAAGGGTAAACCATTCCGATTTCTGATCTGGACTTCGCCGATGATATATGTCCGATTTCCCACAAACTAGAAGATATGCAAGTGAAAAGCCACAAGTTGGCAGGAGAAGCATCAAAGATAGGACTTCAAGTGAACATAGATAAAACAGAGGTGATGAAGATTCCTGGCCAACAACAACAGACAACAATCAGCATAAGTGGGGGGAACCTGAAAGAAACAACCTCCTTCACCTACCTACATACCTACCTGGGAAGCATCGTTCCAACTACAGGCCAGTGGAACTGACGAGGATATCAAAGCCAGAGTCGGAAAAGCAAGACAAGCTTTCATTACTCTTAAGTCTGTGTGGAAGTCAACAGCACTCAGCATGAAAAATAAGATCCGGATTTTCAACTCCAATGTGAAGTCAGTCAGTGCTAATATTCGGATCAGAGACTTGGCGCGTCATAAAGAGCATCTCAAACAAACTTCAGACCTTCATTAACAGTTGTCTTCGCTCAGTACTCAAGATCAGATGGCCAGAAAAGATCAGCAACAGGGATCTCTGGGGATGAGCGAACCAACCAGGAACCGATTGTGAAACAAATAGGCGGGAAGAAATGGAGATGGTTTGGCCATACTCTGAAGAAATCAGCAAGTGGCATCACTAGACAAGCCATCGCTCAAGTGGAACCCGAAAGGGAAGCGGGGAGTTGGTCGTCCCACGGTGGGTTGACTTGGAGGAGGTAATGTGAAGAGGAGATGAAAGCATGTGGGCAGACTTGGAGCTGGGTGAAAAAGTTGGCAGAAAACGGAAGGCAATGGAGGTGCGCAGCTGAAGCCCTATGTTCCTCTAGGAATTAAAAGATATAATAATAATAAATTCTGATTTCTACTACAAGTTCGTGTGATGACAAATATTAAATGTAACAAGTTTTCTCACTTTTTAAATACAGCCTTCACGCCCTCTTTACATAGCAAATAACTCATTGGTTGTGTACATGTAACATCCTTTTTAGTAGAAAGATAGTTGGACTGATGTTTATATAAATTAACTAAGTATGATTCGTGGCCTGGATTTGGAATACTTTCCAACCACACATTCGGTCCGGAGTTCGATACCCGGCCTATGCACCCCTAAACCTCACTAAATCGGTAGTGAGCCCAGTAATGAAAGATGAGCAGTCAGGTTAGCAACCCTATGCTGTGAAAGTAAAACCAATGCTATTGAAACCTTAAAGCTCAGCCTTGGATTCTTACGTTACAGTTGGAGTGCTAAGGAATAAGTAAGGGATTGAGTATAACTGTCTTTATTGAAGACTAAACGTTGGTTTAAAAAGGTGTGAACAGAAGTACATCACAATACTAAAATTATGTACGCTTTATTTCTGTTATTGGTGTACATGTGGACTGATTATTTGTCTTTGTAGTAATTTCTTGTTTTTTACACCATTGAAAAACTACTTGTTTATTAAGCTTCAATAACTTGATTAATTTAATGAAAACCACCTGCCAGTTGTATTTATTCGACGTTTAAATTAGTGTCAGGTAATCATCATGATAAGGTGTGATCCAAGTGTTCTATTTCCAGTTAACTTTTCCTCCACATTTTAGGAGTAAAAACCACCTACATATTTCGATCGGTATACAAAATCTAGTCGTTTAGTCAATTTTCGCGAGTTTTTGTTTTTATTTTTAAGGTATTCTGTTCTCTTATTCGTGTATACTTATTGTTAAATAAAAAAAGGAATGAAGTACGGAAATGTTATTCACCAAACACCCGTAATATTCCACACAGTTGATAACGAACCACACTTATGTATGTGTGGGATAGCAGTACTACCTAGATGCACCCACACTTCGTTGGTGAAGTGAACTTTTGGCTTGTTACCCAGTGGTTGATAGTCAAGTGCCTAGACTAGTGAACTACAGCTCATTTGACTTCCAGTCAGTTAGTTTTGGACCTAAATTTTGCTTTATACTCTACAATCTAAGAGTAATTGTCTGGTATCATTTTTCGTCAAACATGTTGAATGTGACTCATAATGTATTACACTCAGAAGCTTTTAGCGTACAGGTCAATTGTATTATGGCTGGGAATATTTGATTTTAAAAAGCATAAAAAGATTATTGGGAAGTTGATCAGTGTATTATCATCATCCACTTCTTTTGTTACGCCATTTACTAAATTTCAGTGATTTTTTGTTTTGAAACTTTGAATCCATCACTCTGTAGTTAAATATGACATTTGAACATTTCTAAGGGAATTTAAAGTTTCTTCGCCTTTTTTAATTAATATCAATGAACATGTTCGATCAATTAGTCTCAAATGTATTCATGTACTACCCGAAAACGTGTTAAATGTGTAGATAAGGTAATCTTCATAATGATCGTTTTCCACTCTTTATTTGATAATAATAATAATAATAATAATAGAAAATTTTATGTTCAACCTACTGGCTTTCTTTTTGTCCTCTGATCAACACATTGGTTCCTTCTTCTTTGTATTATAAACAGTATTTTATTGTAGTGAATTAATCATCTTAAAAGACAGCTTAGTGAATAAAGAATATTTCTTCTCGATAATTTCTTCAAAATCTACAGTTGTACACCCAAAGTAGTTAAAAGACAATTATTATTGAAAACAGTAATACTTTCTAAATAACATCGAATCACTGAGATCAGTATAATCTGCAGTTCAAAATGTGTGTGTGTGACAAGTCTCTATATGCGATTCCGATTTAAAAGTAACTAACAATTTAAGAAAATAAATTCAAGGAGCTTTTTAATGTTGGTAAGCTGCAGCTGGTATTCTCCGCATGACCGGTTGAAATTCTGTAACCTGAAGACAAAGTCACAAAGATTAACTATATCTTGGTGTGAAGCCAGTTATATCGACCGCAGCTAAATACAGGTGTTGTTAAAATCAACAACAGTTCGATATTAGATCATCTGGTCCAAACATACCATAGAGGCAGTATTGAAGTATCTTTTTCTACTCTCTATCGAGTACCAAATCAATTACCAAAGGTCTCTAGATACCGTTTACTGCAAATAACAGAGGCTGTTGAGATTCGGTTAAAACAACTGAAGCTCTGATTGCAATAGAAACAGGCCAAGCCACTATTGCTGCCCTGGCCTATTGTAAAACCTACAAAATTCATATGATTCTTAATTTATTTGATATTCAATTAAATGGTGTGTTTATGTATATTATAACTTACACATGCTTTTGAACTATATTATCTATTATTATTGATTCAATTCCTCAATTATTATGGACATATAACTATAGGACAACACGTTTAGGCAAACGATATTGTTTTCAATCAGATCTCATCAGGCTTAACTGTAATATATATAGCTTTACGAATAAAAATTCATTTAAAAACCAATCACGGTGTTTTGGTAATAGGATAATAAGAGTATGCGTATAAATTATGCAATTAGCCTGAATAATAGTAATGATAATAATAATGGTTCTATAAGTAACTAGGGTGAAAAAGTGAGGCAATCTGTGATAACAAGAATAACGAAAAACAGCATAATTAAACAAACGAATGTTCAGGTAGAAGTAGTCGATAAAGGCTAATAAAAACAAATGAACCGATTGAGTAATGCTAGATTTTAAGGGAAGTAAGTAAAATACGTTTCAATGAGGGAGTATGATAAAAGGGGGATTGAAAATATGAGTAAAGGGTTGTGGAGTAGTCATCAGTTGGTTAGATCTTAGTGGAGAAAGGGGATAATGGCTGCACAAACTTTTGAATGCAACTATAGAACTTGGTCAAGAAGAATTTATCGAGAATAAAATCCTTTGTTTACTAATCTCAGTCTTTTCGAAATTTTTGATGGGTATATTTAATCAGTTTAAATTAATAATCAGTAAATTTCATATGTATGAACATGCTTTACTCATATTCTTTCTGTGCTTTTCTTCAGAAACAATTTCTGAACTAAGGCATTTATTTCTTTGAAATGATTTATATTCAACAATTGAATTAAATTTGTTACCTGTTTCTGACTGTAGGTGTTTGTGAGTATTTGGGAAAATTTTGTTTCGATGCATACTGTGATTATTTTCCAAATAGTTTTATTATGTCCTTTTGAATCAGTCATTTAATGTTTAAACTTGTCTTCACAATAAGATAGTGGCCTTGTTGATGATAATATGGTATAATTGATGTCATATAGTACCCATAGGACTTCAATAAACGTTTTCTCACCCAGGAATTGTCGTAACACCGCCATCAATACACGTGAAGAGTGTAAAGTAATCCATTGAGACAACAAATATGATAGAATGAAGTGATTTACAAATATGAAATAGAAATGTAGTACAGTTAATTTTATTGTTGTTGCTGTTGTTGCCTTTGTTAATTGAATTCACTGAACTATTTGATATCTTTGGGTTTAATTTATTTGAGTCTCTGCTGATTTCTCGCCCGTTATTTAGAACTGAACACCCGGTTTTTTTTACATTTTATGATAATGTCTTACTATGTGTTAAAAGAGATATATCGTGGAAATTACTCACCAGGACACTAGAGAAGAAAACAGCAAGAAGCTCAGGAAAGATATCTTTCCGGCGATTTCATCCTCAAACGCAGAACAGTCGCCTTTTTAAACATAATTTCAAAATAGTAACGAAGAGAGCTCAAAAAAGACGTGAATGTAGATTACAAGGGGCATAGAAACAGAATTACGTAGGATTAGGAAATAGTCACGTAACATGTACAGTGATTCTTTAGCGAAGACAGGTATGGACGGGATGCTCCTAGAAAGGAACTGAAATAATGGTTTTCGTAACTGAAGACGAAGGGAATGTAAAAAAAGGTAAAACAAAGGAACAACTAAGGAGTCAAAAAGAACTAGATCCATGGTAGATGTAGAGGTCGGGCTCATTTCTTTTGTTGAACACATGGCTCTGGCTTCCTGATACATTTATGTTCCAAGGAAACTAGTCCCACCTCTACATTTACCATGGATTTAGTCCTGTTTGGCTGCTTATTTGTCTGTTGTTTTTCCCCATTCCCCTCATACTTCATTATCTTCACCATTATAGATGAGATTTTATTTTGATAAATCACACAGTGTTATACAGTAATATTAAGTGACGACGTTTCGAGCAGAAACTATTGCTCATAATCATATCAAGTCACTCACACAACTTCTTACTTCATTTATATGTATTTATACTTGTCAACCAGAATGTAAAGAGAGAAACTAAGTTTTGTCTCTTTTTAGAAATAATTATCTTATGTCGACTATTGCTCAAAAATTGTTGTTAAATTATATTGTATATTTCTAAAGCAAAATCTTATTAATGTCTTTCTCATTTTTTTTAATCTTTTTATAGCCAGTGTTACCTGCTCTTAAAAAGCAAAAGTCTTGCCCATTATTTCCTTTAAAATCTCCTGAAAGAGTCAATCGAAATTTCGTTGTATTAGTCGAAGAGACACCAGAAAATCATAATCGTATGAGTAAAAAGTTATATGAAAAATAACAGGTGAGTGGTTACTGAAACATTCTTTTTCTTAGGTTGAATGATGAAGGTCTCTTTTCTCATTATAATTGAACTGTCTTTATTATCATTATTATTATTTTCTCATCGGGTCCCGAGTGGGATGTAAAGCTACAACAGTACATCTCCACTTTATCCTATTCTCTGCAGCCCTCTTTAGATTGTCCCACAATTGCATATAGTTTCTCATCTCCCCTTCTAACGACCTCTTGTATGTCAGCCTTAGACCTCCGTCCACTTCGTCGTTTCCTATTCGGGTTCTATTAAATTAGTGGCCTGGTGTGCGATTTCACTCGACGATCTCCTCTCAGTGTGTCTGACCATTCTACATTTTTTTCGACATATTTGTTGAACAGTAGGTTCTTGGTGGGTTTTTTTGGGTACTTTGGATTTTTCACAATTTACCAATTAGTCATTAGTGCTTGCCTACCAGCCGGATGGCCGTTCTGGCTTACTGAGGCGACTCAGAAGGGGTATGCCACTGATAAACTCGACCTCAAAGGAGCAGTACGGCCGTCTGGTGTTAAGATCACTTCAATGTAGCTGGCAAACACTACTGGTTGATGTGAGTGGTATACAACTACTCATTTCAGTCAATCAGTAGTGCATAGTTTAGATTTTATTCAGACATATTCACCTGCCAGTTTATACAGTTTCAGAGAGATAATGTTTGAAATAATAGAAAAGTTTTGTGGTTCAATTAGGTGATTTCGATGTTTTATTCGCGTTTACTGAACTGGATAATTTAATTACGAAGCTTTCGTTGTCCTCGTAGACTCAAACGTCAATATGAATTGAACTTATTTGTATTCTGTCCATGAACGATAGGTATAATTCTATCTCTTGACAACCTCTATCGCTGTTGGTTGTTAATTCGCGTAGTTTACGTTTTACTGATATGCCCAAACCAGGTTCACATTTAATAGTTTAAAGAAATTTGGTTATTGGGTATGTGATATTTATTCCTATAAAAGTTTTTGTATTTTCCGATGAATGAAAAATAAAACGATATTGTTTCCACTGACATCTCACTGGTTAATGCTTCTGACAGCTTTATCAAAGTATCATCAAACCAGAATTTACAAAATCTCAGCTTGTATATACCAAGTTAATCATCGTTCATCAGAATGGGGTAATTTTTACGTTGTCAAGTTGGTAAAGATAACAAAACTATGTTTAGACTGTTGGATTTGATAAGTGTATAGAATTATAAAAACAGCACGTGTTTACATATTGAAATTACTTATCACATTCATGTTGATTTTGTCACTTGATGTGGACGGGGGAGAAGTGTTGCAAGCAAGTTAAATATCTCATTTAATCCGTCACTTGTATTCAGACAATTTGAATTCCATTTGATATGAAGTGCTTCTGATATGAGACGTTCTTTGTGATTTCTGAAATTTTTATGGATTATTTCAGTACTGTCTAAATCAATTTTGTGGTCTGATCCTATAGTATGTAGACCTATGGCTGATGATTTTTCAGTCTTTTCTAGTTCAACTGGAATTCTCGGTGGTCGAATCGAAAGAGGCTCTATGCGGTGTTCATTTCTTCTGATCTTGATTTCTCTCGAGATCTGTCCGATGTGTATTGCATTAAATTCTAAGCATTATATTTTATAGACACAGTTATATTGAGAGTCCGAAACTAGGACAAAACAGCTGTCCAGTACTCCCAGGTTTTCAAGTGGTTCTTTAACTAGTGTCAGCTCATGATGAAATCCTGTAAACCAATCAAATCTCTACAAACCAACACTTGAATAGATTGAGAATCGTTAGGAATTCTCTCTTCCACATGGACAAGGTTACTTTTATTGTGCCTAATATGATATGTTATGTTTTTTGAATGCTCTTCTGATATCATCTGACCTTTGCGGTCTATAAGGAATGATGACTATTGAGGCCCATGTCTTCAGCACACGTTTTCGACTATGTTTAATGTTGGTGTTGATTTTGGTAATGAAGTTCTTTTTCTTGAGAATTTCAGTAATTCAGAACAAAATATTTAGAGCGAACAATTGTTTCCAATAGATTCTTCTTCAGGCTCTGCAATTACAAATCCATTAATTCAAGCATAAAATAGCCAGTAAAGGCAAATTAGAATCATATCAGAAAGTGTATTGTGGAACAAGTATAAGATGGGATGAAACAATAGTCATATAGTTTTTTTTATATGCATGGTCAGTGAGAACATGGGGCAAAATGAGAGGAAGTAATTTAATTTAATGATATATATATATATATAATATATATATAGTCAACAGAAAAATACAGGTTTCGAGAGTGAGTGTAATCAGCGTGTGTGAGACAATGAGAAAATAAACCAACGAATGGAGCGGTCTAGACATAAGTTCAAGGTTGAAAATAACAACAATAAGAATGATTGTAAAATAATAACGATGATATGGTGTAAAATTAAAAGCACTATTGGTGAATGATTGTCAAATAATAATAATAATGAATATAATGAAGTGGAATGAACAGGATTTTATAAATACGATAACAAGTTAGAAGAGCACTACTTAAACCTAAGGTAATAAAATCATAAGAAAGGTATGAATCATAAAAGTCGAAAATGAACGTCTGTCAATGAAACAGAGGAATAGGAGAAGAAAGAAAAGAAAATTGTGAAAGTAATTTATAGTGTTAATGGAGGATTTGTTGGCTTTATTATGGGCCAAGGTAAACGTAGAGGTTGAACATACTACTTCAGTATGCAAAGAGATGGTCTTCTGGTATTAATTGCAACGCTTCAGCTACTGATTGAAGACGTAGTCGAGCTCCTCTAGATAAATTACTAGGAACGCGGTAAATAACTGAGAACGCCTGGTCAAGTTTTATCGGGTGTCCAGTATCCACCAAGTGGGCTAAGACTGCACTATTTATGCATTTGGTTACTCCTTTACTCAACCATGCAGATACATGTTCACGCGCGCGCATGTATAAAGCCCTCTGAGTACGGCCAATGTAACTATCTCCACATGAGCAGTTGAATTCATAGATGCACATCGATGAGGCCATCTTTGGTAATTTATCCTTGACTTGCTGTGTGAGTAACTGGTTTTGTTGAGAAGTTTAGTACAAATTTAGCTGCAGGAAATGTTCTATCTATGGCTCTATTAAGTCGACATTTTAGAATGTCAGCTGCAATTTCCCCTTTGTAACTTAAGATACAAAGGTTTCTTGTCTATGGTATCTACCTTTGCCGTGTCTTTAAGTATTGACATATACTTTTTTAGGAAGCTCTGTAGATGTCCATTTTTTGCAGTGTGAATTTCAGTTTATGTATTTCTTCCTTAGTGCATTCCTCTGAGCATATTCGTTTTATTCTGTAGCTAAGACACTTAACTAAGTTTCTTTTGTGCTGAATCCATGTGAAACTATGGAAATGGGTGTACTGACCCGTCCAAGTTTTCTTTCTAAATAATTTCCTTTGTAGATATCCGTCTGTGTTCATGGTAAGTAGGACGTCTAGGAAAGGTAAACTGTTATTGTCTTCTTCTTCACACGTAAACTGAATAGTTGGGTAAACACTATTAACGGCATTTAGAAGCTCTTGTTTGTTAAGATTTCTATCACAACCGATGAAGGTATCATCTACGTATCGACAATAATAGTCAAGCCCTTTAATCGTGTCTTTGAGTGGACCATTTTCAAGCTTTGCCAGGAAAATATCCGCTAGCAAAGGGCCCAGAGGTGATCCCATGGCTACCCCATCAACTTGTCGGTAAAAACCATTATTGAACATAAACTGAACATTCATAGTGCATTTCAATAATAATTCTTTGACTTTTTCGGATGGGATCCCTACATCTATTTTTCCTCCTATCAGCTGGTCACATATGTAGTTGACTGTTTCAAGCAGTGGGATGTTGGTGAATAATGATGCTACATCCAGTGACATCATTTTCTTTCCCTTTACATTCAAGCTTTTGGTAGTTTCCACAAAGCTGAATACGTCTTTTACACTGAATTTAACTAATTCGCGATGTAGCGGCTCTAGTGCCTTTACCAACCACTTTGCTGTAGAATGATAATGTTCGGTGTGTATATTTTGTTCTCAATAAATTATAGGAATATTCAATTTAATTTCAGTAATATTTGATATTTCTTCTTCTTTTTTCCTTTACATCCGTTATCAAACAGTGCGCTGGTCTAAGAACTGTGATTAATTCATTGTATGTATATGTATATAAAGCCATCAACAGCATTAAATAGCGGGACATCTGTAAAGACAATATATCGTTTTGCTTTTTCACTCATTGAGAAATACAAAAGCTTTTATGATAATAAATACACTTTACTGATTTTGAAATTAATTCTCCCTTTAATAGGTGATCTCAGTACTCTGAGCACAACAGATTTGAAGAATCTCCGCATTTGATAGGATCAATATTCAAATTAAAGATTAGATGATTAGATTTTCCTTGTATTTTTCAATTTCTGAACATTGACTTTACAACTCAATTTATATGCGTCTCTATTTTTTTTACTTCTCTTCCAAACTTTATTTGTATTTTATAAACGATTTTTTTGTGCACCTTGAAATTATATATTTATTAACCTTACTTTGATTTTGAAGATGAGTTGTGCCGGTTATTGATTTTAATTGATGTATAACTTGGACTATTTTCAAATATGATGTATATATATGTAATATATGTCTTATTTCATTCAAGACAATATTCAGTTTTTGATGTGGCTGTATTCTGTGAGCCGCATAGTCAATTTACGAAGCTTTCATTGCCCTACTAGGCGACATCTTCAGCGCATACTTCAATTTGAAGTGAGCTTTTAGATTTCTCCACGAGTTTATAAGTCATCTCTCCTGGCGGGTAACCTTGAACGAGATTGGTTGTTTTCGTGTGTTTTCACACCCTCTAGGCTATTTGTATTGCAACTGATTGCTTGCTTGACTTGAACTTTGACCCTTTGTGTGTGAGGTTTCTTCTTAACGATTGGTAAATTTTGTCTATCTTGATGTGTCTATTGACTGACGATTCACTAAAATACCAGGCTTCTAAAAATTGTCTAGAATTCTTGGTGTATCTTCTGTCTAACATTTGAACGTTGTCCCAGTCGAATTGGTGTCCGTCGTTTTCTGTATGTAGTAATATGAGAGAGTGGATGTCATATCTTCTGACGGCTAGTTTATGTCCATGGATACGAAGACAAAGGGGATGTCCACTTTGGCCAATGTAGTGTTTTCCTCAGTCGTTACAATTTATTTTGTAGATGTTGGTTTTATCATCTGTCTTTTGGTTGACATGCAGCTGGGCGAAGTGATTTTGTTTGTTTGTGTGCGACATCAGTTCATGAAATGTTGTCTTTTATATATGGTAGGGCTGTTTTCTTTATGCTTTCCTTGGGGGCCTTTGATTTGATAGGTTGGCTTGGGGGTATATGCCTTTCGATGAAATTCCGTGGATATCTATTCTTTTGGAAGACGTTCATGAGATATCTTACTTCAACTTTCCTTAACGTGAGAGTGTTCCAATGAGTTCTGACCCTCTTGAATAGTGTTTGTATACAATTCCTTTTGTTATTCAAGTATAGCCGAAGACATTGTCTAGCGGTTGCGCTATATCGTGAAGTGGCAGACGTTAGAATTCATGGGCTGTTGGATCGGGTCCCAGTGGCTTAATAGTCTACGAACTCGCCGTGTAACTGGAAGGTGCTGGGTTCGAACCCTACGGTGTGGGTGCGTACTGTGAAGAGTCCCAAACTAGGACGAAGCAGCTGTCCAGTACTCCCAGGTTTTCCTATGGTTCTCTAACCAATGTCAGCTCATGATGAAATCCTGTAACCAATTATTTTTATGTTTTATTTGATTGTTGCTGTTGTAATTTACCATTTGGTCTGTGTGAGTTGATTTTCTATAAACTTGAGTTTCTAATTCCCCTGTGGTTGTTCCCTTGACTAAGACATCCAAAAATGGGATTTTGCTCTCGAATTCCTCTTCTCTTTTGAATTTGATGTCGTTGAAGACGTTGTTTATTAAGTTGTGAGTTTTATCCAACTTGATCTTTTGATTATTACAAATGTGTCATCTACGTAACGTATCCAAATTTTTGGTTTGATCTTTGGTAGGTTTATTTTTTCGAGCCTTCGCATCACTCACTGCTTCTGCAATCAAACCTGATATTCAGTGAATATCGATATTTTGTTACGGTTTGTTTCTTTGCAGATTTGAACTATTCATTTGTGGTTTTAGGTAGTGAAGCATTGTTAGATATGATGGTGAGGATTTATAGACATAGCAATAAGCTATCGTTGGCGTGGGTCGGTAGGAGATTGTCGCTCCTTCTGGAACACGTGTGTAGATACCGACCATGCACTGGTCCGCGCTCGGGTGTGCTTACGACTGAACGGACGTAGGAAACAGCTGGCGGTAAAACCATCACGTCCCCAGCTCGATCAGGAAACTAAATCCGTATTTGAGGAAGAACTAGCTAAACACATATCTGTGTTCGACAGCTGTGCTCACCCTGAAGAAGCTTGGAAAAATATCCAGGCAGCCATAGATACAGCTGTAAAAGCTGTGAATAAGTTAAACCCAAAGGTGAGTAAAAACCACTGGATCTCCACCGCCTCATCCGAACTGATAGATGCTAGAAGACTTATTCCGGCGAGCTCCGAATTCAATGAGGAGCGAAAGCTGCACAAGAGGAAACTTACGAAAAGTCTCCGCAAGGACCGTGAACAGTGGTGGGCGACAAAAGCCAAAGAGATGGAGAAAGCTTTGAGGATAGGCAACACCAGGCAACTATTTAGACTCATCAGGGAAACGGGTGGGAGAAGACAAATCATTAGTGAGACAATCTCGGAAAAAAATGGCACTATAATTAGCTCCCAGGATAGACGACTGGATCGTTGGAAAGAGCATTATGAGGAGCAGTTTAATTGGCCCACAGCCACGCTCAACCTTCCGAGCATCCAACACCTCCCTGAATGGGATATAGACACAGGTCCTCCGTCACTAACTGAGGTTACTAAAGCTGTCACCAATCTGAAACTAGGCAAAGCAGCGGGACCTGATGGAATGACTCCAGAGGTATTTAAGTACGGTGGAGACAGCTTACTGTCTGCATTAACTGAGGTACTAGGCAGCGTCTGGGAATCAGAAGAAGTCCCATCGGGTTGGTGTAAGTCACTGATTATCCCCATATACAAGAAGGGAGACAAGTCTTCCTGTGATAATCACAGAGGGATTAGCTTGACTAATATAGTATCTAAAGTCTTAGGCTCAATAATCATGCGTAGACTGAGTGGTGCTCGGGAGGCACAAACACGAGAGAGCCAGGCAGGCTTTAGACCAGGAAGAGGGTGTATTGATCATATCTTCACCCTCCGACAGATTCTAGAACATAGGCATTCCTACCGGCGTCCAACAGTCATTATATTTCTTGACCTAAAGGCAGCATTCGACTCTGTCGATCGAGAAGTTCTCTGGAGATGCTTGGCTGTAAAGGGAATTCCGAGAAAATATATTGCACTGATTAAGGCACTCTACTCGTACTCATACAGCCAGGTGAGGGCTTACGGCGAGCTGTCATCTGAACTGATGACGACCAGTGGTGTCCGTCAAGGATGCCCATTATCTCCTTTTCTATTCAACTTCATCATAGATGTGTTAATGGACTTAACCCTAGGTGACTTCAGCGACTCAGGGATTGACTTGCTACCGGGGAATAATCTCGTTGACTTGGAATATGCAGACGATATAGTCCTTCTAGGCGAAGACGCTGACGAAATGCAGAGTCTTCTAAACACCTTGAGCCGCAATCTACGAATGTTTGGCATGCGATTCGCTCCCGCCAAATGCAAGATGATGTTACAGGACTGGACTACATCGACGCCTAGTTTAAAAATAGGAAGTGAAGTGGTAGAGCACGTTGACCGCTTCACTTATTTGGGAAGTACCATCAGCCCCAACGGGTTGATCTCTGACGAAATCTCAGCACGAATACAGGGGGCTCGTTTCGCATTTGCCAGTTTACGCCGACTCTGGCGTAGACGAGATGTTCGACTATCGACCAAAGGGCGGGTGTACTGCTCATCAGTCCGCTCCGTCCTCCTTTATGGTTGTGAGACCTGGCCACTGAGAGTGGAAGACATGAAAAGACTAGCTGTCTTTGATCATAGGTGCCTGCGCTCTATTTCCCGTGTAAAGTGGCATAATAAGGTGAGCAACATTGAGGTTAGGCGTAGAGTTCTAGGTAAACAGGGGAAATCAATCGACGAAGTCGTGAAGCTACAAAGACTGAGATGGTTAGGACATGTGTTACGTATGCCAAGCCATCGCCTCCCTCGACGAGCAATGTTAGCGGATATAGGGTCAGGCTGGAAAAAAGCTAGCGGCGGTCAAACAAAAACTTGGCATCAGTCAATGAAATCCACAACAGTTGGTCTAAGCCACGTAGGAAGGTGTAGACTTCCAGGCTGGGGTCCTCGGGACGGTAAAAATCTATGGTTGGAAACAATTGGTGACATGGCTCAAAATCGTTCTCAGTGGCGCAGATGCATCCACTCCCTGTGACTTATGATCTCCAATGAAACTGTTTTGTTTTTCGTTATTACTCCTTTGTCTCACACCTCTGCTCACTGTTTCTATTATGCTTTTCTTGTACTTTCTTCTCTTGCTTCGCGTGCTACACGGAATGTGGCGACTTGAACTTCCGCACATTTGTGCAAAGTTCTATGTCGAAAACAGACAGTTAAAGGGGGAAGAAATGGATGTAGTTTTGCTGCCTTAGCTGGACGGTTTCGTTGTTAAGCCTTCACTGTCTTTCTAGAAGACAGACGGTCAGGTCGTCAACAGAGGCAACAGGTTACAGGATTTCATCATGAACTGATGTCGGTTAGAGAACCACTGAAAAGACCTGGGAGTAATGGACATCTGTTTCGTCCTATTTTGGCACTCTTCAGCAGTACACATCCACCACCACGGTTTGAACCCATCACCTTCCGGTTATAAGGCGAGCTCGTAGAGCATTAAGTCACTGGGACCTGATCCAGTAGTCCATGAATTCCAGCCTCTGTCAATTCA